AGGATGTCTAGTTAGACTGTTAAATGCTTAGTCATGCTTATGAGTTTCTACAGGGTACATCTGGTCAAGGATAACTAGAGAGAAGAGTTGATGACTGTCAGCAGACAGGGTGTTTAATATTATTATTATGACATGTATAACTGTAGCCTTAGCCATAATATGTTCTTATGTTTAAGTAACGACATGTTACTAGAAGTCTGTGAGAATGTTTTTAGCTACACACCACTTAATCAACAGACACACACACGCACATTGATTTGCTTCATGCTTTGACTACTGCTATGGCCAGCTGCAAAGCTGGTAAGAGAGACGTCTCGGTTGACGTTTCTGTGTAGTATGGGGCTAGCCCAACCGAAGAGATAAATGTATAGGCCTGGTTTGGTTCAGGATCTTTCATCTTACATCTGCCTGCGAGCAGGTTGGAGGTGCAAGATACCTGAGCGTGTAATGTTAATTTGACCTGTGATCCTTTGAATAAATCAGCACTGCTTTGTAGTTACTTGGACTGTCTCGTCTCTCAGAGTCAGTATGGTAAAAAGTACCAAGTACAACATTACATTTAGTTCCTGGTACCGGTATAAGGTCAAATACTGTTGTTGTACTCACTAATAAAAATGATCTTGTTAGAAATTAACCCAATTCTTTTGTTGGAAGCACGAGAAGTGAAGACAGGAGAGGACTCTTTAAAGTCAACAGAGAGTTTACTCAAAGTCTGATCACAGGAAAGTCTTTATTGCGCTGAATTCAGAAAGCCAGAGCTCCCGTAGGAGATCTGCCTTCTGGACCTCAAATTAAGTTCTTCCAATACATTTTATCTTCTTGGGCTGCTCCACCCTGGACAGAGGTACAACAGCTCCCCATTGTTAGAATGTGGTAAAGTCTAGGTATGTGCATGTGTTTGTGTGTGGACGTGTTTTTCCTGCTACATGGGGACTTCTTCCTGACTCCATAGCAACTCATGAGGACCCATTTCATGGTGGGGACCTAAATTGAGGTCCCCATGGGCAAGAAATTGAATTTTAGGGTGGCAACATGGTTTAGGGTTAGGTTAAGATTAGGGTCAGGGTTAGGGTTAGGCAAATAGTGTTAGGGCAGCTCGACACAACAGTGAGCGAGCAGTGAAAAAACGGACCCAGGCGGCTGGCTTCGATGCAAGTGATAATTTATTACAGTGCTAACAGGGGTGCAATCATATATACAAAAACATGGAAGGAGTGAATATCACCGGGTGCCTGACCAACAGAGGTAGAGGGGTGATTGTCCGTGGGGGTGATGAAGGTTGGCTGCGAGGGTAGGAGTCACTCCTGGGCTGGTCAAGGTGGGGGTCCGGTTAACTGGAGAGGAAACAAGGAGTTCAATGAATGATGGGACTGTGCATCGACCTGCGAAGGTGGTAGGTGGAGCTGAGGGTGCCAAGGTCCAGAGGAGAGATCCAGGTAAAACTAAGGAAACACTAGACATCAAGAACATACGTGGAACAGGAAAAAGATGGTGAACATAACGTACTGCAAGGTAGGCTAACGGCATAGAAAGAACTAGCAAGGGAGTGAAGGTAAGGCCGAGTATAAATAGGGAGTGAAAAGGAGGCGCAGCTGAAGAGTGTCAGAAAATTAGGACAGGTGTGTCTAATCCAGAGAATCAGTGAGAAGAAGCAGACTAGGGTGAGAAAGAGAGAAGAGAGGAAGGTGCAGCCGGGCAAACCTGACATCAACTTGTTTGCATCCAACTGTGATTAAATATCTCTATCTATGTACACTTGCTAATACAGTTTGATTGATATGCTATCTGTTTTGTTTGGAGACTGCAAGACAATCATCCAGTTTGAAAACCTAATCAAAAAAGTAGTTCATTATTTAATATTTACATGCATATACTGAGGCAAATAATACAGACTCCCTTCATTGTTCTTGGAGCTACTGACAGCTCAGTCAACCATGTTTTTAACCACAGGGTGGCAGTATTTTATTTCTCTAAAACCTTGCCTCTTCTGCAGAGCTGTCGTTTGACCTACATCTCTACACTAATAGGCAGGGAGAGAAGACATAACCCTAAAGATAATGTTTTAAATGGGACTGAACCTATAATACCAGCTTATTTATTCATTTATCAGCATGGTGGAGGAAATGCATTTGCCTGGCAGTTCAGTGGCATGTTATAGAGGTTTGCATACATAGTCCTGCAACTAGCCCTCAAACCTCAATAGGAGGAGGAGAGGTGTGCGCTGGGCTGTAAGCAGATGGTATTTGCATCTATGACAGATGCCAGCACAGACACTGATACATAAAATGGGACAACAGGCCAACCTGCATTATTGTGACCGAGGGGATACTGACCCAATCACAGCAGTCAGCTCAGTGTGTGCTTACACAGAAACAACATGAACAGCACAAGGTTCCCCCTCCATGGGCTTAGGATCCAGATTGCAGGTCTGCTGCTCTGCAGGCTCTGTGTGGTTTAAAACCAGTGACCTTGCAGATAAACCATGCTGGCCTTCATTTTCTTCCTAAGATTAAGCTGTTACTATCATATACAGTAAATTGGCCAATTAATAATAGCAATCCTGTAAAATGCAGAGTTCCCCAGAAAAAATATCTTATTTTATAAACAATTAATGTTTTTAATTGACCTAAATGTGCTGTATTATACATTCTTACTATAATATAATCTGAATATAATAACTTATTAAACTCTCATTAAATGCCTTTGTCATTTCTAGCTGATTCCCAATAAAGCCATCATGACAAATCTGCACCAGTTTTAATATAAGGCCATAAACAATACTGCAGCCATTTATAAGACCTGTTTTCATGAGTGATATAACATTTACTCTGAGGGATCCCCTGCCACTATAGCAGCAGTGTGTCAGCAACTGAGTTGTGAACACTGTGGTAACTATAGTATTGATTGTTCTGAGTGTTTCCCACACCCTCAGTCTTTACCCTCAGCCAAAGCACATTCTTCAGCCTAAAATAGTCAAATCTTCCACATTCCCTTTAATGATGCATACGTTTCAATTAAGCTGAATGAACTGAATGTGGCTGTTGGCCAACTGTGCCTTCTGTTAACAACACAAGGTATTGTGTGCTTTATATTGTGGATTATATAGAGTCTAAAGGATTTTGGATTTAAAGAAATGTTTTGGCAATAATGCTTGTTAGTCTGTCTAAAAAGACTTTATAAAGAAGGGCAGAGTCTGTTACCCTGTGTGCTTGTGAAATCGAGCTACTATATACTGTAAATTAAATTGCCTTTACTTAAAGGCAGTAAAATTGCACGATATAAATATACAGGTGGTGCTTACAGGTTCTTAAGTGTGAAATGCATTTAGCCTCTAGGTTAAATGAAATCGATATGTTCATTGAAGGTGCTACCGAATAGTCAGACAGACAATAGTCTAGAGTCCAAGCAGCTTTCTAGACAGGTAAAATAGAATGATTGATGAGCGGATCAATACGTCTCCTCGGCCGCTTCACATCTGCTATCCCCGGGTGATTTTCCCGCAGTTTATTCGGAGTCCGTAAATCAGGACGGGGGGACGTGCCCATCTCAGGACCTCCCCTA